CCCCCCCCATCTACGCCGGCTCCATTACTCGAGCCCCTAGAATGGCGATCACTGCGCAACCGTAAGAAAGATAGGAGCATCCTTATTGGCTGGTTAGTGTGCCCGTAAGAGGTGGCGCGGTTCGACGCACGGCCAGGCCGATCCCGAAGTGGCGGTCCATCCGTAGACGTGGATGCTCTGACGTATCTTCCGGTCCGGGCCCCGCCCTTTCTGCAATCGGATGTCCGGAGAAGGACCGGAAGTCGGGAGAAGAGGCGTGGGGTGACCACGTGAGGGTCAGCGAACGTGGGGGTCAGTGGAACGGAAGTAATACGATCTTACGCAGCCGTAAAGCACGATCGGTCGGACCATTTTCCGGTTAGCGACAACGGCCGGCTCGGACGCCAGTGCTACCCTTCCTGTAGACCGCAACTCGGTGAGACCTTCGGTGAATAACGCTTCACCTCAGCTTTTTCCTTTCGGCGCCCCTTCACCAAGATCATGTTCAAGAAATTTGACGAGAAGGAGAGTGTGTCCAACTGCATCCAGCTGAAAACTTCCGTTATTAAGGGTATTAAAAGCCAACTGACTGAGCAGTTTCCAGGTATCGAACCGTGGCTTAATCAAATCATGCCTAAGAAAGACCCCGTCAAAATAGTGCGATGCCATGAACACATGGAAATCCTTACAGTCAATGGAGAATTACTGTTTTTCAGGCAGAGAAAAGGACCTTTTTATCCAACGCTGAGATTACTTCACAAATACCCGTTTATCTTGCCACACCAGCAGGTCGACAAAGGAGCCATCAAATTTGTGCTCAGTGGTGCAAATATCATGTGTCCGGGTTTAACGTCTCCCGGAGCTAAGCTTTATGCTGCTGCGGTAGATACCATCGTGGCGGTCATGGCAGAAGGCAAAGAGCACGCCCTGTGTGTCGGAGTCATGAAGATGGCTGCAGCAGACATTGAGAAAATCAACAAGGGGATCGGCATTGAGAATATCCATTATCTAAATGACGGGCTGTGGCATATGAAGACGTATAAGTGAGCCTTAGACGCAATGCACTTGAGCTAAATATAAATATTGTGTTGTATCTGTGTTTGTGTCTGTATATGACATGAAGACAATGCCTCTGTGGCTATGCTGAATAAATTCAACAGATACCTTTAAAAAATGAAAACGGGGTGTTGTAACCACAGGAGAGAGCAGGAATTGGGGGTCAAGTAACAGTTTGCTCCACTTTGGGATCACAGAAGTGGTCGTACTGTGTTATTAGGAGATTTGGTAGCATCCAGAGAGGTCTGGCATCGGGGTCTCTACTTAGGTGCTCCCAACAACAGCTGCCTTCGAGATTCCCTCTTGGCTACTTCCTCTCTCTCTCTCTCTCTCTCTCTCTCTCTCTCTCTCTCTCTCTCTCTCTCCTTCTCTGCTTGGGAAGGGTTACCAGCCATCCTCTTGGTTTCCTGAAATTCTGGACTTGGCAGGAGTAGCATTCCTTGGGAACCCACTGTGTTCCATTCCAGGCACTGTGCTGAGGGCATTGTAGAATAACCTTCCTCACTCCTCACAACAGCCCCCTGAGGAAGGTGCTGTTGACTTTTTTACAGATAGGGAAACAAACTCTATAAAGAGGACACTTCCTCCCCTAGGGTCACCCAGCTTCAGGTGGCAGAGCTTATATATCCTAACACCCTCATTTGATCTGGGCCTACATTCCCCCTATAGAAAACTAAGGGGTTGGGGGTGGACCCAGTGAGCTTTCCCGAGCCTAAAACCCCTGCCAGTCTGAGGCAGCCACGGCCAAGCACATGGGCCTGTCTGGCCATACGGGCAGCCGTGTCCTCCACCTCCCAGGGGCTGACGGGTTGGGGCGGGGGGTGATAGCCTCACTCTGAGGAGTGGACTTACCTGGCCTCTCTGCCCAGAGATCATCAACTATGAGTTTGACACCAAGGACCTGGTGTGCCTGGGCCTAAGCAGCATTGTTGGTGTCTGGTACCTGCTGAGGAAGGTAAGCAGTCAGGGCCTGAGCAGAAGGGGAGGTTGGGGAGATGGTAGGATGGGGCACAGTGAGCTGGTCTCACTCCCAACTTTCCTCAGCACTGGATTGCCAACAACCTCTTTGGCCTGGCCTTCTCCCTTAATGGGGTAGAGCTCCTGCACCTGAACAACGTGAGCACTGGCTGCATCCTGCTTGGTGGACTCTTCATCTATGACATCTTCTGGGTGAGTCAGGCAGGGACATGATGTCCAGCTCTGAGGGCCCTCCTCCGCCTCCCGGCTTCCCTGCGTCTCTACCATCTCTGTCCGCATGGCAGTCTGATGGAGTTTGTACCCCAGAGCAGGTCTGTTTCTGGTCCATCTGTAAATCTGGAGCCAAGGGATTGTGTCTCCTACCCAGTGCCTTCATACACTCTCGATGCCTGAGTCTTTTGTCTCTAGGGCAAATGGGTCGAGACTTGGGGCCGTTTGGATAGGAGTGGTGGATGCTGGTGGATGCCTGGCAAGGAGGGCAGAGGTCAGCTGTGCTCGGGATTTCTGTTCACTTTCCGAGGCACTGCTGAGGGGTCTGGGATCTGCCTGACCGTAGTAGCGTCCTTTCCCTGGAAGACCTTTTGTCTTTGAATGCTGCCTAGGGTCTTTGTCTCTTAAGAGGGAGAGGAGCCTGAACAAGCAGGCTGCCTGGCTTGGGCCAGCCAGTTAGGGCCTTTCTCTGACTCCTTCAGATTTTCTCTTGCCCAGAACCACATGAATGGCTACCTCAACTTGGTGTCAGTCTGCTCTGAGCTCTCCCAGTTCCCTACTCGATTCTCATACACCTCAACATCACATCTAGAAGCCTAAGGACAGCCTTTCTTGCCCACCCACCTCCCTTTAGACTCCTGTCTTTTCCTTCTAGGTATTCGGCACCAACGTGATGGTGACTGTGGCCAAGTCCTTTGAGGCACCAATCAAATGTAAGTGACCGCCTCCCACCACCAGGCTTCATCCTCTCTACACCCTTTGGCTCATCATCCCCGTTGGTGTCAGAACCACTCTTTTATTTCCTCGCCATTGATTCATCTTGCTGTGTTCTTGATCTCAGTCTCCCCCTCCCCACCCCGCCTTGGGTCACTTGGTCATGATACCATGTGGCATGAAATATCTAGGAATGGGAATAAGCGTAGAGGAAAGGTGCTTGGCAACCTATCAGGGCTTGCGGTGGTTTTCCAGAAGTCGAGACCTTCACACTATCACACTCACTGGGTCCCCCTTGTTACCTGAGCACCTGGTGCTCTCTGGTCTACCAACCCTGACCATACCTTGGTTTTGTATTTTTAGAATAACCATTGTTTACACAAGTATTAGAAAACCCACCTGTAGGGGCTAAGGGTGTAAGAGCTCAGTCTAGCATGTGTGAGCCCTGGGGTTCCATCCCTTGCACCTCTGAAAGAAAGAAGGAAAAATAAGATCCATAACACAGGCATTGGGCACATTCCTGTTATCCCAGTACTCCAGAAGCTGAGGCAGGAGGATTGCAAATTTAAGACTATCCTAGCCTACATAACAACTGTCAAAAAAAAAAAAAAACCAGCATGATGGCTCAGCTGATACAGTTCCACAGTTCTTGCTGCCTGACCTGACAACCCGAGTTCGATCCGTAGGACCACATGCTGGAAGGCGAGAACCAATTCCCACAAGTTGTCCTCTGACCTCTACATGGACACTGTTGTACATGTACTCACAAACATACAAAAGTAAAGAAATGTAAAGGTTTTTTTTTGGGGGGGGGGGTCCAAGCTAATCGGTAGTGCGCACCTTTAATCCTAACTCTCAGCAGGCAGAGGCTGGTGGATCTCTTGAGTTTGAAGCCAGCCTGGTCTACAGAGTGAGTTCCAAGACAGCCAGAGATGCGCAGAGAAAACCATGTCTCAAAAATCAAAAACAAACCTTGGGTACCAATGTCTTTAAACAAGGAGAGTTTCTGGATGTTTATGGAAATAAATGTCAGGTAGCTGAAACCATCCTGGAACTCACTGTGTGGCTAACGGTGGCTTTGAACCTGTGCACCTTCTGCTTCCATCTCCAAAGTGCAGGGATCACTGGGTCTGACTAAGCAAAGGGAAATTTTATCAGACTTCTGTAAGCCTGGGTAGAGCAGCCCAACAATGGGTTAATGCCCTTAAGTGGAATCACCAGCACCAAGGTTATTTCCATCCTCCCACCCCACCATTCTCAGCATGCATGTTACTGATCCCTTAGCTCACCTTTCAGTGGTCAGTGGAGGGGACCACGCTTCTAGCATTAACTCCTTACCCAGATGCGGCACAGAGGGAACCACTTTTTGTCTTCCATTGTGAAGAGTGTTTTTGGTGTGTCCCCCACCCCAAGAAAAAAAACAACAACAAAAACCTGGGGAAGCTCCTTTCGTGTTTCATTGCCCAAGTCATTACAGAGCTACAGGCATAGCCAGTACTGTACTGTGTTTTCCTACGGTGCATGAGTGCTTGGGTTCTTTAGCTGAGCTTGGTACCACTCAGTGTTAATCCTGGTACTTGAGTGAAAATTCAAGACCCGCCAAGGCTACACAGCTAGACCATCTCAGAAACAGTCCAAGCAAACAACTTGCCTGCCTCAGCAAGTCAGATGAAAAAGCAGATTAACTTAGACTCTCAGCCCTGGCTGAGTCCCAAATCACCTAGGACCACAAGGCTAAGGCTCCAGGATTGGACCAGAGATGGTAACTGGGAAGAGGGAGAAATGACCTTGGGAAGATGCGCAGGCCTCTGTAGGACTGTGGCAGCAAGCAGTTGGGGTGAAGTCAGCTAAGGGCTTCTTCCTCATGGGTCCCTTAGCAGCTTAGAAGGAGAAATGAAGATGAACGTAACCTTTGGTTAGAAGATCCCAGATCCTTCCTCACTTTAAGAGCTGCCATCTCCTGTGTGAGTCCTAGAGGGCTGGAGGTCGGCAGCCTGAGTAAACGGCTCCCTGACCTTCATCTCATCCCTGCCTCTCCCCGCAGTGGTGTTCCCCCAGGATCTGCTGGAGAAGGGCCTTGAAGCGGACAACTTTGCCATGCTGGGACTTGGAGATATCGTCATTCCAGGTGATTGCTGGGGAGAGGACTGTGGGGAGGGGTGCCGTGGATTTTACCATGAGGTGGGTGGGTAGGTAGCCTTACTATTGGGAGTGGGGGCGATCGGGTGAGCGCTTGGCATATTCCCTCTCGGTATGTTTGTGGTTTTGATGGCATAGGGCAGCTCTTTTTCCTTCCATTTTGGACTTAAACAAAGAAAGAGGAGCCCAGAAGCCCTGAGCTTCAGGTAAACATGTTCAGGATGACCCTGAACATGTCTTCTTACCATCCTGGACTGCTTGGCCTTAGGGGGTGCCCTGCTGGTGGGAGAAAAAGCCTGCCTGGCCTTTCTCTCAGTTCCTGAGGTTAAAGAAGCTGCAAGTTTTGTATCTTTATCTATCTGTCTGCCTATCAGGGATCTGTCTAGCTCCCAGTTTTTTTAAGGACTGATAGAGACCCACATCATCCTTAGCAGTGGGCTCCCTGACTGTGGAAAGGGTGTCCTGCAGAGAGGACGGGAATGTGGCTCAGTAGCAGGATAAAGCTTAGCTTAAAAGCTCACCCTGTCAGAACTGGTCAAGGACAGTAATGACAGGGAAATGATGGCGACAGCCCTGTCACTCACCGGGCACTGTGGTGGGAGCTTCCTTGGATCATTCTGCTACTCCCAGCAACTCGGGGGAATAGGAGGAATTTCTATATTCAGGTTAAAGAAACAGGCCAACTTGTCTGAGAGATTGGGCTTAGCATACCCCACCCCTACCCACCCCCGAGTATCCCCATGGCATGCAGCACTACCATCAGCAGGCTTACTTCCCAGGTAATGACACAGGAGAGAGCCGAGTCCTGTGGTAGAGATGCTGGCACACGCCTCTGACCCCAGACACAGACAGGGGGTCCTGAGTTCAAGAATAGTCTGCTTAGCCTGTCAACATGTCTTAAAGGGGAAAAAAAATAATTCCAACCTTCTGGCAATGGACAGACACCTCATTGTGGTGATCAGGTACACTAGATTGTGGTCCTGTGTTCATCCTAGCTTGATGCCTGGCTTGGTGGCCAGCGCTGTTTTTAAAGAAAATAATGGAATTCCACAAAATTTTGCCTTACAGCAGTGGCTCTCAGCCTTCCTAATGCTGTTACCCTTAGTAGAGTTCCTCACGTCGTGGGGACCCCCAACCATTACACTTTTGTCACTGCTACTTCATAACTAATCTTGCTACTGCTGTGGTTCATAATGTGAATATCTGTGTTTTCTGGTAGTCTCGGGCAACCCCTGTGAGACCTGCTGCCTTGCAGAGACCCAATGTCTAGCTTTGCCAGTCTCCTTGGAGCATGGTTCTGGGCTTTAGGAGCACACTTATTCTCTCCCTATTAGTCTCTGCAGGACCTGTATGTGGGTCCAAATTGTCCAGCAGTCACGTGTCCAGCCCAGAAAGCAGCATGTTGAAACGCCTCAGCTGCCAAGAGTTAGTACAGTAGCAGAGCCCCCGCCCATGGTTTAGCTTAGAGCTGTTACGAGTGTCAGACACCAGGGGGCGCTGAGCTCCAAACACTGTAGAAAAGGCAGCTCTGGCCGGTTTTTTCCATCCAAATCTCCTCTCACAGCTCTCACTGAGAATGACTCATTTCCCTCAAGCTTGGCTTCATAGGGTGGGGAGTGTGCTCGGTGGTAGAATCCTTTCCTAGCGTGCACAGTTGTGGGCCTGGGCTCCAAACACAGCACTGCAAAAATGCCCGTTCATCATGCTTGCTAGTTGACGCTTCTGATGGACATGTGCTTCCGCTCTTGAGCAGCTGTCCTCAGCTAAATGAGCATTAGTCTCTGTCCTGTGTGAGTCCGAAGGCCAGTGAATGGGGAAGCTCTGTAAAGATGTGGGGTGTGCGCAGCATGCAGAGGTTGGACTGGCTGGCCCTATCTCAGAGACTCAGAATTCTGGGGCACCTGGACTTGGATTTGAAGTGCGAGCCAGGTGTTAAGGGACAACTAGCATTCCTGAGCTCCTGGGGTACCTCCCAGTGGTCTGCAGCTTCTCTCACCAGGCAGTGGCCACAGGGGTCTCTCTGGACCTGTTTAAGCTGTCCTCCTGCCCAGAACCCCGAGCCTGCTGCATGGCGGTCTGTGCCATGTGTCTCCCCCTGCAGCTCCACAGAACACGCTTTTCACTCTCCCTGGCCAGACCAGATCCCCCCCCCCCCCCAGTCTACCTTTGAGGACATTAGAAGTCCATTTTTCAGTTAGAGGAGGCCTAGGTTTCCTGTTGGAGTCATCTGTCACAACTGCTGTCTTCCTCCCAGCCGCCTTGCCCCTTGGCTGAGCTTCCCTTGATCCTACACTGTGCCTGGTCAGTGGGGAACAGAGATGGCCCGTTGTGACACAATATGGTTCGTGGGGGAACCAGTCTTCTATCAGGGAGCTGTCCTGCTCCCTCTCCCCATTCCTGACCTTCTAACCCTCCTTTTCCCCTTCAGGGATCTTCATTGCTTTGCTGCTTCGTTTTGACATCAGGTAAGCAAGGGAGGGTGCGGCCTGGCCTGGGGTTCTCCCAGCATTGTCCAGTTTTCAGGAGCCCAGAGAAGGTACCTCCACCCACACATCCAGAGAAATTCTCATTTCACCTGCATTCTGAAGTGTTAAGTGTTTTTTGGTTTGTTTTTGTTCTAAGTCCTTTTAGTTGAGATTGGTGCTTGTAGCTCTGTGCCCTTGGTGGCCAGTCTGACCTCGGGAGCCTCAACTTCACATCCATGGTGGTAAAGCAGAGTCAGGAGAGCACTGAGCACAGCCTGACCTCGGTGGCTTTGGGGACAGCGAGCTGCAGCTGGCGTTTGCCAGGCTACACTCAAGTTACTGTCCAGTCTAGTTGGCCCCATGCACTCTCTCCAGCCTTTCCTCAGGCTGTTGTAGAAACTGAACCTAAGGCTGAACTGGAGCTCAGAGGAGCACTTGCCGGCCATGCACGGCCAGACTCAGTCCCCAGCAGGCCTTCACCCCAAATTTACATTCTGTGGGGGTAACCTAGAACCCAGATTTTTCCCCCAAGAGATTTTATGCTAGCTAAAAATCTTACAGGCGGTTTTAGATAATATTTGTTGTTTACAAATGGGCTTATGGCTTTCTCATTTTGCAAAGATTTAAACTGAGCATGAACAAAGAAAGGTAACTTGTCAAAAGAGACTTAACTCAGGGTACATGGCCCTCCAGACTCCCCACCCAGAGCTCTCCCACACACGCATGCAACTACAGGGTTCCCCAGAAAAGATGCTCCTGCTCTAACCTCTCCCTTCTGCCTTCCTTGAAGCTTGAAGAAGAATACCCATACCTACTTCTACACCAGCTTCGCCGCCTACATCTTCGGTCTGGGCCTCACCATCTTCATCATGCACATCTTCAAGCATGCGCAGGTGAGCAGAACAACCTTGGCGTGGCCACAATGCGTCCCTGACAGTAACAACTCACAGAAAGCTGCTCCGTCACCTGCACAGGCAGCTCAGACCTGGGCATCTGAAGTGGTAGGAAAACAGTCATGTTTGTGGTTGTTTTTGACTTGTAGGGACGTGGTTTTTCAGCACACCACTGTCTTCATTAGAAAAGCAGACATTTTCCCACTGCTCTCTACCTGATTTCTGCCTATGTCCCATAAGCCAGATAATGTCATTCCAGCTACAGAAGAGGAGGCTGGGGAGGAGAAAATGACTTCCCAGGCAAGCTAGCATGGATTGGGTGAGACTTAAGTGCTTCAGCCAAGTGAAAGCTAGCTACACCCACCCCAGGAAAGCCAAGGCTCTGCCGCTGCTTCCCACCGAGGGGGGCTCCAGTTACTCCAGTTCACCACAGTGAACTGTAGAGTGTTCTTTTGGGCCACCAACCAGGTCCCAAATCATGGACAGAGACTTATTACTTTTGAATGCTCAGCTTAGCTTAGGCTCTTTTAACTTAAATTATCCTGTTTCTCTTTATTTACCTTTTGCCCCAAGGTTTATTACCTTCTTCCTTCTGTATATCTTATTTCACTGCTTCTCTGTCTGTATTGACTGGCACCTGCCTGGCTTCTTGCCCCTTGCTGTGTCTGTTTTTTCCTTCTCTCCTCTTGAGCCTCGATTTCTCCTATTTATTCTCTCTTGCCTGCCAGCCCCACGTATCCTTCTCCTGCCTAGCTATAGGCCCTTCAGCTCTTTTCTACTCCGATCAGGTGCCCCAGGCAAGCAAGGTGAAACAAATGCAGCAAGCACACCCTTACCTCGTGAGCGTGGCATAAACCAATGCAGCACACCTTTGCACAGTTAAAGTAATGTCCGCCATCATGAGCTGCACGTGTGTGTGCGCGCGCGTGAAGGCCGGGGTCCCAGTGGCCTGGAGAGGGGAGGCCGGCAGGGACTGGGCAGTCAGGACTGTCTCCTCTTGTCTAAGGACATAAGGCACATGGCAGGCCCTGTGCTCCTGAGCTCTTAGAGTGCACATGAGAAAGCAGGAGCTGAGGCGCCACTCAGTGAGTGGGTAGCAGAGCCAGGACTTGGCCTGGGACAGTGTGAAAGCCCAGCCCAGGCTGCAGGAACTGTGTGGTGCAGAGGCCAAGGAAGCCCCTGTGGGAATCCAGTAGATTCCTCCCTGGGACCCAGGCCAGGCCCCAGGAGGTACGCACATACTCCACTCAGTCATTAATAAAAGCAAAAAGGAATGGCCTAGGGATGGGGCGGGTCAGTGTAAGTACTCAGAGCTACACCTAGATAAGACCCCGCCCCCACTACCGGACAGCTTTGCTTTCTGTGAGTTGATTACCCACAGCTCAAAAATTGAATCAGAAGCTGCAGTTTTAAATGCCATGCATTCTGCATACCAAGATTAATTCTTACTGCCCATGTAAGCCATTCCTTGATCCAGCATATCACCCTTCTTACCATTAGAGAAGCATTCGTGCAAGAGTGCCACAGTGTACGGTTATGAGGGGCTCCAAGGATGGGGGGAGGATACTGTATTGTTGCTCTTTGCTCCTCCCCTCCCCCAAAGCCCTGTCACGTGGGAGCGGCCTTTGAATTCCAAACAAGATCAGATTGTTATCACTGGGCCTGTGCTAACCTTCCACAAAGATCCGAGGGCGTGGCTCTTAAGCAGAGACACCCGGAGTGTCCGCGGAGCCTTCTCGTTTTTTGGGTTATGTTTGGCAGAGCTTCTGATGTGCCTGTGGAGCATGATGTGTGCTCGGTGAGCGGATTTCAGAGTGCCAGATCGCAAACAGGCTTAGAGGCCTTTTCAAGGCCTGTATTACAGCTCCAGCCCTGTGTTAGAGTAGGCCGGAGCCATTTCCCGGGCAGCCACCAGGTGGCAGGCTTGCCTCCCCAGCTGGAGGCAGAAGAGAGTCTCTCCTGCAAGGTACTGTCACTCCCCATTGTGGAGAGACTGCAGGCCTAGAAGGACAGATTTCCCAGGTAATCCACCTACCCAGGCTGTATCTGGGCCTCTCCTACTCCTGGCCCTGATTCATGCAGATGGCCATCTCCCTGTAGGTCCTCGAAGAGGGGATCCAGGACGTAGGAAGAGTCTGTTAAGTGAGGTTGCCGTCTCCAAGAAGACAAAGGCAGTCCCCACGCCGGCGTTGCTAAGTAAAGGCCCCCTATGTGGCCTTTAACTCGCTTAGCCTTTAAAAAAAAAACCTTCCTAGCCAGACATAGTAGCACATGCCGGTGATCGCAGCCCTGAGGAGGTGGAACAGAAGTTCAGCGTCATCCTCGGCTACACAGATAATTCAGATGAGCCTGGGTTACGTATATGAGAAGCTGTCTCAGAAAACTCACTGCCCTGAGCTGTAGGGCTCTTTCTCCATCACCTTCTCATTGAAGATCTTCCCAGGTGCAGTGGGAGGAAAGAAGGCAGGCTGTATCCCTCTGATAATAGCAAACTTGCTGGCTCTTAAAGGAGCCCTTCCCATGAGCCTGAGGCCACCAGCTCCCCTGGAAGTCCTATATTCTGCTAAGACTGTCTTGGGCAAGAGAATGCACAGGGCTACCTACACAGGATGACCCTAGCTCCAAATCCTGACCTGCTCTTCTCCACCCTCAGATTCCCGGTTTGCTCGTCTGTCTGTTAACTTACCATTATGTAGAAGAGTGTTGGGTTTGTATATGTGGGAGTAGGTGCCTGCAGAAGCCAGCAAAGGGTGTCAGATTCCCTGGAGCTGGAGCTATAGACAGTTGGGAGCCAACAGAACCAAACTTGGGCCTTATTCAAGAGCAGTATACATTCTTTGCCACTGAACCATCCCTCCATGCCCCACAAATTAAATTTTAATATTAAGTTTGACCTTCCATTCCTGTTTCTCCTTACGTGATTTTCTTCCTGTTTTTAGGGGCCTGTGTTGGTTGGTCGAGTTTGGTTAGTTGTTGTTTGAGGCAGGGTCTCATTGAGTGTCCTGGTTGGCCCGGAACGCACTGTAGACAGGGTAACCTGTCAATTCATAGAGGTCATTGCCTCTGTCTCCAGAATGCTAGGATTAAAGGTGTGTACCACCACACCCAGCCTGGTTTTGGGTGTGTGTTTGGTTGGTTGGTTAGTTGGTGGTGGTTTTTTGTTTGTTTAGTTTTGAGGCAAGTTTTCCCTGTGTAGCTGGGCTAGCCTCAAACTCCCAGTAATTTTCTGGCCTCTGTCTTCATAGTACTAGAATTACAAGGGTGCAGCACAATGCCCAATGTTTTCTTTCTACTTTAAGGATATTTTATTTTTTCTCTAGCTGCCCCATTCATACCTGTGGCAGTGCTAGGAATCGAACCCTAGTTTTGCAAAGTGTTCTGTGAGCACTCTCCCGCTGAGCTAGATCCCTGCCCATTTTGTGACCTGAAAACTTTTGTTTTTGGTTCTATTTTGAGACAGGGTTGTTCTGTGTAACAGCCCTGGCTGTCCTGGAATTCACTTTGTAGACCAGGCTGGCCTTGAACTCACAGAGTCTGCCTGCCTCTGCCCCCAGTGCTAGAATTAAAGGCAGGTGCCAGCACCACCTGGAGACCCGAAAGCTTTTAAATCATTTCACGGGTCTTGTTTCCCTTGAGTTAGCTTAGGGGTCAGAGTGCCCTCTGGCTGCTTCTCAACAGCTTGGGGCCCGGCCTCTTCACTTCCCTTCTCAGCTTGGCCTCACACACCTGTGACCTTGGGCAAGTCAGTCCCCTTCTGAGTCTTAGAACATCATCTTTAGAACATGGGTCTGGGTACTATGACTAGATTCTAGGGTAATCTCTATAAAGTAATGTGGCTGACCACCCACCCAGACCAGTGCCAAGAGACGGTCTCCTGAAACATCCTCAGATGCAGGCGAAAGACCGTGTTGTTCTTGGGCCCCAGGCTGGTTTTGTGCTTTGTACTGAGAATGGTGTCTCTTTACTCTATCCCACTGTCTCCAAGACCTCTCTCAAGTTTGTGAGCATGACAAATAGTCACCAGTGTCCCCCGACCCCCACACTCCCTGGCCCTCTGGGATACCAGGCGAACAGACTGAATAGGAGTAGGGACGCTTGCTCTATCTGGTTCCACAGCCCTGCAGGGGATAGAGACTCCATTCTGCCTAGGATGCTCACTTCCACACTGCCAGGGACGTGATGCACGCAAGTAGGGCTTCTTCACAGAACCAAGGGCTGGGGAGGAGGAACTGGGCAGAAGGAGGAAGAACAACCTAGGCAGCTGAAACTGCACATGCCAAGGTACTGGGGCTGTGACCAAAGTCAGGTATAGGTCAGATGGGAGGTTGGAGGAGATGATGACAAGGGTCACTTTAGGCCACTGGCAGCATTGATGGCTTTAAAGTGTCTAACAGAGGTGTTTGGTGTTCACCTTTCAGAGGAAATAAGCAAGGAATGACCAGGCCAAATACGTGCGGCTTCCATTCTCAGCTTAAGCCTTAAAACGGAAACCTAGACTGCCTTCTCCCTCTAGAACATTCGCCCTTCTCTGCCCAAAGAGGGTAGACACAACCATGGAGGTGACCTGGAACCTCCAGGAAAAGCCTCAAACACTGGGGACAGTCTTCCTTTTCTCCCAGCCGGCCTGCAGAGGAGTGTTAGCACAGACTTGGGAGTGGCGGAAGTGAAGGACAGAACCTGAAAGTGAGAGCCAATTATAATGTCTCCTGTGTTACCGAAATGCAAGGTCCTAGCCGAGACTCCAGCCTTCTAGGGAGAAAAGTAGCCTGAGAGGTAGCATTGAGCTGCGTTTGTGATGCAGACACTGCCAGGCAGGTTCCTGAGGGGCCTTCCAGCCCTGCACCCAATTTCCTACAGTGCATGCTGTTGTGAGGAGCTGCAGGCCGCCCCAGCTCCCGGCCGCCAGCTAGCTCTAGCTTATGCCCCGAAATAATTATATGGAAACTGTATTCTTTTAAACACTGCCTGGCCCATTAGTTCCAGTTTCTTATTGGCTAGCTCTTACATATCGATCTAATCCATTTCTAATAATCTGTGAGGGCCAAGGCAGTTTCTTTATTAGTTAACCAATGAAAGCAACAGATAAGATACAAGACCCACCTCCATCAGCATGCTTTCCCTCCCAGGGAGGAGCACCCCTGTCTGGACCTCCAGCCCTGTGTCTGGGCTTAGCCATTGACTCACCCCGCAAACCTGGATCTGAGCTATCCCTCAGTCAAGTCCTGAAGAGGGTTGGGTGCCTTGCCTCATAAGTCTCTTGTCTTCTTCTAGCCGGCTCTCCTGTACCTGGTCCCTGCCTGCATCGGCTTTCCTGTCCTGGTGGCACTGGTCAAGGGAGAAGTGGCAGAGATGTTCAGGTAAGGCGGGATGGAGCAGACATGCAGACAAGCCCTAGTGCACCTGCCGGATCACATGAGCATCGTCTCTAAGGGAGTGTTCCTACCACCTGTTCCTTTCTGCAGTGACTACCTGCCTGGCCTGTGGTCACCAGTGGGACCTTGCCTAGGAGCAGGGGAGGTGTAGTCTAGGGCAGGCCATACCACACACCTACAGTGTTTTAGAGGAATGGCTGCCTACTGTCTGGGGCCTTGGATCACAAGCTATCTCTGCCAAGGTGACTTGAGGCATGTCTTTGCCCCAGCGTCGGTTTGCATATAATAGGACAAGGTTGTACCATCTCCAAGAAGCCATGTGTCCGTCCCTGTCCAGGTGCCTCTGGAGCCATAACCCACAGCTTGTTTTCTGATATACAGTCCCCTTTCCTTGTGACCGCTGCCATATCTGCCACACCTTGTGCACGGCCCCGCCCCTACCCCAAGGCCTGCATGACTCCCAGCAGGTGTCTGCTCCCAGGCACCACCAACCCTGCCTGCCAAAGACCTAGAAATAGCTGCCAGCTACTATAAAAACTGCCCACTCGGGGGCCTTCACCCAGCTCCACCTGCTTGGCCTTAAGTTGTCCTCCAAGTGCCTGCCAGGGCCTCCTGTGCACCTGGATGCCTGGGGCAGCAGATGACTCACCCCTGCCCCTCGCCTGCCCTGCCTGGAATCCCCAGCCCGCTGGAAGCCGGCCCACCCCCATCTCCTGGCCTGGCAGCTGATCCTTGAGGTCAGCACTTAGCATCCCTCCCCCTGCGCATCTGTGCTTGGAGAGACTTCTGAACCAGTCCCCTGTGTCCTTGGCAGCCTGAACTCTCAGCACCCAGCCAGGGCAGAAGGTACCTCCTTCCTCACACTGAGGCCCAGTTTACCTAAGTACGCTTCTGTGTGAGCCCCACCCTACCCAGAAGGCCCATAGGGAAAAGCAAGGCAGCAGGTGGTCTTTCTCTCCTCTGTCCTCTGCCCCATTCTCAACCTGATCTTTGCCTTCTTGTCTTTCACTGCCACTCCCCTGTTGGAAGACTCGCTCACTGATTCATTCTTGAATGACTGCACTTTTACCTGGTTCTGAGTTCCCTTGCTGGTGCTAGAGAGATGACTCAGCACTGGGAATACCTATGGTTCTCCCAGAGGACCCAGCACCCATATTGGGCAGCGGACAACCATCCCTCCAGGGGGACTTGAAGCCTCCGTGGGAACCTGTGCTCAGTGCTTTATACTCATGTGCACAAGTGTTCACACACACACACGCATATGCCAGTTCCCATAAGTTGTCCTCTGACTTCACAAGCACCATGACACACACACAGTTAATGTATTTGTCTCAATCACTGTTCTGTTGCTGTGAAGAGACACCATAACCGAGACAACTCTTAGAGAAGAAAGCATTTAGCTGGGGCTTGGTTACAGTTCTAGAGACTGTCATCATGGCAGGGAGCACAATGGCATGTATGAGGCTAGAGCCGGAACTGAGTGCTACATACATCCTGGTCTGTAGGCTGAGAGAGTGACACTGGGCTAGCATGGACTTTGGAAACCTCAAAGCCCACCCCCAGTGACACACCTCCCAATTCTTCTCAAATAGCGCCACTCCCTGATGACTACACATTCAAATATATGAGCCTATGGCGACCATTCTTATTCAGATCACCACAGTCTTTTTTAAAACAGACTAGGGAGAGCTCAGTCAGAAGTGCCTGCTGTGTATGAATTAAGACTAGGTTTGGATACTCAGTGCCCAGCTGGGTGTAAAAATGATGGGTTGTTGTTTTCTTTTTTTTAAGTAGTCACAACTGAGCCTGTGCCTTACAGTGCTGCATGGCTTAATCCCTGTGATTTCAAGCTCCAGGTCAGCCACGCGGGTGGCAGAGTGAAGTCCCAGCTATTGGGGAGGCTGAGACAGGAGGATCGCCTGAGTCCAGGAGTTCTGGGCTTTGGTGCACTGTGCCAGTCTAGTGTCCGCATCAATATTGTGTCCTCCTTGGAGCAGGGACCACCAGGCTGCCTAAGGATGGGTGAACCAGCCAGTTTCAAAACAAAGCAAAGCCAGGTGGTGGTGGCGCACACCTCTAATCCCAGCACTTGGGAGTCAGAGGCAGGTGGATCTCTGTGAGTTCAAGGCGAGCCTGGTCTACAAAGAGAATTCCAAGACAGCCAGAGCTGTTACACAGAGAAACCTGGTCTCAAAAAACAAAACAAAACAAAAACCTGGCATGGTGGTGCACACCCTTGATCCTAGAATTTGGAATACAGGCTGGCACATCTCTGTGAGTTCTAGCCCAGCCAGGGCTACATAGTTAGATCCTATCTCTAAATTAACAAATAAAAATTTAATAAAAGTTATAAAAATTTATACAAGGGAGCTGGGGAGATCGCTTAGAAGTTTTAAGAGCACTTCTTGCCCTTAGAAAGAATGGTTTTGGTTCTCAGCACCCACATGGTGGCTCACAACCAATATACAACACCAAGCCCTCCTTCACTCTTGTCCGCATAGTGCACTTTGCAGAGGTGCATCTTCCCCCAAAACAGTACAGGTGTTCTACACACAGTAAAAAAGAAGTGCAAGCCAGGTAACCGAGACAGCAGTGCTCTGTGCTCCTTGGGAAGGATGTCTCCGTCCTTCCCTCTTCTTCCCCCCTCCATCTACTTTTTCTGTCTTCTCTGTCTGTCTCTTACACAGCTACGAGTCCTCGGCCGTAATCCTGCCTCATACGCCGAGGCTCACTCACTTCCCCACTGTCTCGGGCTCCCCTGCCAGCCTGGCCGACTCCATGCAGCAGAAGCTAGCTGGCCCTCGTCGCCGGCGCCCGCAGAATCCCAGCGCCATGTAATGTCCAGCGGGTGCCCACCTGCCCGCTCCCCCCACTGTCCTGGGCCTAAGGTAGGGCAGATGCTCCGGCCCTGGTGTGAAGTCAGAGTGTCACTGGGGCTGATGGCAGGAGACAGCCCTTATAGCCACCAGCATTTGCCGCCCAGCCTCAAGGCAGGCAGGTAGCCCAGAGCCTTGGGGTGCTCACCCACAGTGGGAAGTCCCATGAGATGGGCATGAGCGGCCCTGTGAGACTGAAGTAGACACTGTGAGTGCTTGCTTGTGTGTTTGACCCTGAACACACCACTTTCTCCTCTATGCTCTTTATCAAGTAAGCACTTGCTGCCCACCTAAACCAGCCAGGAAATGTCCGTTGTGTTTGAACGGGCACAGTTGTTCGGTAAGCAGAGCCCCCACAAGAGTTAGTATGTCCATCCTGATGAATAGCGCTGTGCTATTTGCAGAACAGGGCTGAGCTCTTAACTCCACCATGTGCCCCAGGAGGCAGCTGGTCTCCCAGAGTCTCATCCCCACTACTCTCTGCTGCTCTCCAGCAGAAGGTTCAAGAAGTTTAATGTTGGTTGATCCACACAAGTCCAGGCCCAGCCTTTCCCATTTGCTACTCTTTGGCAGCACAGGGCACAGAGAAAGCCAAGCAGGGTGCCCATGAGGACACACAGGGATGGGGCCAGGTACTGGCAGAGGCGATGTGAGATTGCAAAGAGAGGGGGCAATGAAGACTCTGCCCTCCGCATCCTCTAAATGTGTTCCTTTGTTTTCTGGTCAGTTATGAGGAGTCAAACCCTAAAGATGCAGCAACTGGAACTGAATCCAAAGAAGAGACAACAGAGGCATCAGCATCCAAGAAGCTAGAGAAGAAGGAGAAATGAGGCCGCTCTGCCTGACCCTTGAGGGCCAGATCAGACAGGCGGGGGACGACCTGTAGGCGACACAGACAGAGGACACGTGCAGGAGGCGAAGGTGGCTCCAGGTTGGGGAGCGGGCCTCTGCTGCCTGTTTCCCTCTCCCCTTTCTCTGGCTTCCTCTGCTGCTCCTCATCCCCTGCAGGCAAAGGAAACCCTCTGCTGCTTCTTTCCCCAGGAGCCAGGTGGGAACCCCGTGTGGTTTTTAGATTTTTGTATTGTGGACTGACTTTGCCTCACATTAAAAACTCATCCCATGGCTGTCGGGATACTATGCTCCTGGAGGGTTGTCAGCAGCTTCACCTAGTGGCTTGTGCTAGCTCACTAGGTCTCTGCAAGCCCCTCTTTGGTGCCCACCCTGTTGTCACGCCAGAAGAGGGTGTTCCTTTTCTCGTTCTTTCAGACTTGGGGAGGGTGAAGGTGGTGGGCAGGTGCTCTCTGTGTCCCTGGCCCTGGAATGAGAAGATGAAGAGAGTCGCAGAGGGCAGCCTGACTCAGACGGCTCTCCTTGGGCTTGCTGTCCAGCTGCCTGGAGAGCAGAGCTCCATCTTTCCCGTTCTGCCCACTCCTGGGCTTCCCAACATAAGGCCCAGATCTTCAGAGAGCATTGGTTGGGAAGGGAATAGCCCAAGTGACCAGAGGAAGCCATCCAGGGTCAGGAGCTAGGGATCCCAAAGTCAGAGCTTTCCTTTACCTCTGACCTTCAGGAGAGTCCAGAGGACAAGGGGAGGGCAGCTCAGCCCTGACCACCTTCCCAGGTAGGGAAACTGAGACCCGAGAATGGCCATGACCTGCCCTGTCCAGGGTTCGGGTTTAGTGGCTACCATTAACAGAGCCTGGGATTGAGAATACGGAGGGTTGTCTTCCATGGGTTCAGATGTGGACCAATATGTGTTGGTACAAGATTCTACCTTGCACTTATGGTCCTAAGATATGCGTGTTATTGCTAGCCTCACTGTACAGATGAGGAAACGGGGCAGCTCGCCCTCAGACATGGATGTGACCTCAAGCAGCTGATTGCAGCTCTGCATACTAAAAGCACTATGCTGTTCTGCAGACCTTCTAGGACCCAGTCACTGTGGCTGGTATGCTGGGCCCCTCTGAGTTAGCCACCCAACTTCTCTGGGTCTAAAATTCTATGGAGAGAAAAACCTCAAAAGGCTCCTCCAGCCAGGGGGTCTCTTTAGGGGCTTCTCGGATCTCTGCAGGCTCCTATTGCCTTCAGGGGGAGGCCGTGTGGTCCTGGAACAAAGCCCCTCTGAGGGTGGCAGATGGGGCAGGCAGCCCAGGCACACAGCGTGGTTGGCTTCTACAGCCCACAACCCACAAAGGCCTCATTGAGTCACTGCCGACCCCCAGCAGAGGCTGAGGTGGCAGTGGCGCCGGGCGCCTGCCACCTAATGACCATCCTGGCCCGGCCAGATGTTCCACAGACCTTGCAGCACTGACCAGGGCCTGCCTGGCCAGCCAGCCACAGAGGCCACTCCAGTTCCAATTAACCAGCTTCAGCTGAGCAAACAGCGGGCAGCGGGGCCCAGCCCAGGCGGTAGGCCCGGCCAGCAGAGCCTCTGAGTCTAGACTCCAGATGTGAACCGCCACCGCCTGAGCCCCATGGAAAAAATGGCACCAGGCCGGGCACGCATTGGTCCTGCACACTAGGAGGCGGGATGGGTGGCTGGGCAGGGCCTCCAGTGGGCCTGGTGCCAGGCTCACCCTGGGGTGGGGGCGGATTCTTGGGAAGCTGCTTTTAAACAGATCTCCCCTGACTTGTGGTGTCCTCTCTGTGCCTTGGCTTCTCCTCGTTGCAGCAGGAGGAGTCTGTAAGGGCTTCTTAAGACCATCCCTGCAAGAGACCCCAGTACCCCCTACTTAAGAGGGAAGCATGTGGCCAGCATGGTGCTAGTGTTGTAGAAATACCTGCTTATATCCCTATGTAGGGTATGCCTGTCAGCCCAGTAGATGACTTGTAGAGGCAGCAAGCTGAGATCAGCCTGGTCTACATGATGCAAAAAAACGAGAAAAGCATGAGATCACTCTGATCCCAGCACCTGGAGACTAAGGCAGGATGGTCAGTGCAAGGTCCCCCATGGCTACAGAGAGTTCAAGGCCTCTGCGTGAGACCCTGTCTCATGGAGCCTAGGGGACGATTACTAGCAATCCTCTTGGCACCTACCATCATCTTTACAGAGGCAGTGAGGCCATGAGTAGGTGCCTGGGGGACATCTGAACCTTGGTATCTGGCTTCTATGCTCATGTTCAACCACGGCCTTAGATTCCTGATTCTTTTCCATGGGGATAGGGAGAGGGACGACGTCACAGGCTTCCCAAATCTGGTTTCCAAGATGGGCTGGCAGTGTCCTGACATCTGTCCCCTAACCTCAGCTAAGGGGTGAGAGCTTCCTCTCAGGGCCAGTCCCACTTATGGGAAGTCCGGAGCCCTGCTGTTTCCATGCAGTGTGTCAGACTCTAGCCAAGGCACTGAGGATTTAGCAAGGATCACAAATGTGGCTCTCCAGAGCTGACATCCTGCAAGATGGCATTCCTCTGGGGAGACTGCCTTAAACAGATGACTAAGTGGATATGTCAAGATGACGCCACAGGAGAAGGGCCTGGTGGGCAAAGCAACGGCCTGTGCCATCCAGCTGTCCTTGCAAAACTAAGTGCCACTGCCACCACCCCAGGGGCAAAAAAAAGCCAGGCTGGCTGGGTTCTCAGCGACATAACGCGCCTCCTTCCTGCTCTCCCACTTTGGACTCCCCGCGTGACTGCCGGCCACGGGAGGAACAGCATCCTGCAGGCTGCACCAGGAAGGGCCGCAAAAGCGGGAAGGAAAGCGCCACCTCTCCGCCCCCGCCAAGGCCACACCTGGGCTCCACAGGCGGTAGGGCTGGGCCAGCGCCTGGCTCCAGCGAGTCTGGCCGCCTCCCTACGCACTGCGGGTGCCGCCAGCTGGGCTGGCAGCCTTGCGGCCGGAAGCCAGTCGCCTTGGGGGCGTGGTTGGGTTGGTCCCACCCAGGAGGGCGGGGTCACTGAGCCAAGGACAAGCCTTGGAATTTCGCTGGGTTTTGCCGTCTCTGCTTTTGTTTTCTTTCATCCCAGTCCCAGGGGACTGAATCTGTTACCTTGCAGGCTGTGCTAGGCGAGGGCTTTATCACTGAGCTGTATCTCCAACCCTGTACTTTGGTGTTCTTAACCAGAAAATGAGGGAACAATTGTACACCCAACACCTGGTCTAGTGCGGACTCCTGCGGTCACTGTTGAGTGGATGGATCAAAGGTCTAGAACAGTCTTGGGCAGTACTTCCCTCGAAGCATCCTTTTGCTTAATCTCTGAGCTGCATTTTCCTCCACTTCAAGGGTGGCTGAGGATTAAACAGTCCTTGGAAGCCTAGCCACCTAATATGTCCTCAGTAAAAGAAGAGGTGAAAAAATAGTAGTAAGTGAAAGCTAAGTGTGGTGACACACCCCCGTAATGCTAGGGGGCTGGGGAGCAAACACCCATGGAAGGAGGGGGGAGGGGTTGGAGCCAGCCTCGCTGCTGAGAGACTTTGAGGTGGGTTTGGGCTACATAAGGCCCTGTTGTCTCAAAACAAATACTAGATAAATTGGGAGGTGAGGTGAAAAATACATAAAATTCCACTTGGAAGATTTCCTTTTACTTTTTGGAGGCTAATGATCTTTAAAGTGAGTGGATTGTTGGGTTTTGAGTTAGGGTCTTGCTATATAACCCAGGCTAGCTGTGTGTGTGTGTGTGTGTGTGTGTGTGTGTGTGTGTGCGCACACACACACACGCGCGCGTGCGCATGCGTATGAGGCTCAATATATATATATACAATTTCTTATTTGTATTTGGTTTTTAGAGATAGGGTTTCTCTGTAGCTTTGGAGCCTGTCCTGGAGCTAGCTCTATGTAGACCAGGCTGACCTTAAACTCACAGAGATCTGCCTGCCTCTGCCTCCGCAGTGCTGAAATTAAAGCTGTGTGCCACTGCCACCTGGCAAATAAAAAATTGCAACTTTTTTCTTTTTTTGTTTTGTTTTTTGTTGTTGTTGTTTTTCGAGACAGGGTTTCTCTGTGTTGCTTTGGAGCCAGTCCTGGCTAGCTCTTTTTTTTGCTAGCGCTTTTTTTAAATATATTTTTAAATTGATATTTATTGAGCTCTACATTTTTCTCTACTCCCCTCCCTTCTCCCCTGCCCCCTTCAATCCTCCCTCAAGGTCCCCATGCTCCCAAGTTACTCAGGAGATCTTGTCTTTTTCTATTTTCTACTTCCCATGTAGATTAGATCTATGTAAGTCTCTCTTAGTGTCCACATTGTTGTCTAAATTCTCTGGGATTGTGGTTTGTAGGCTGGCTTTCTTTGCTTTATGTTTAAAAAACACCTATGAGAGTACATGTGATAATTGTCTTTCTGTGTCTGGGTTACCTCGCTCAAAATAATGTTTTCTAGCTCCATCCATTTTCCTGCAAAATTCAAGATGTCATTATTTTTTTCTGCTGTATAATACTCCATTGTGTAAATGTACCACATTTTCCTTATCCATTCAAGGGGCATTTAGGTTCTGGCTATGACAAACAAAGCTGCTATGAACATAGTTGAGCACATGTCCTTGTGGCACAATTGAGCATCGTTTGGATATCTACCCAAAAGTGGTGTTACTGGGTCTTGAGGAAGGTTGTTTCCTAATTTTCTGAGAAATCACCACACTGACATCTAGCTTGCCTTCCCACCAGCAATGCAGAAGTATTCCCTTTTCCCCACAACCTCTCCAGCATAAGTTGTCGTCAGTGTTTTTTTATCTTGGCCATTCTTTCAGGTGTAAGATGGAATCTCAGAGTTCTTTTGATTTGCATTTCTCTGATGACTAAGGATGGTGAACATTTCCTTAAATGTCTTTCAGCCATTTTAGATTCCTCTGTTGAGAGTTCTCTGTTTAGGTCTGTACTCCATTTTTATTATTGGATTATGTGGTCATCTGAATCCAATTTCTTGAGTTCTTTGAATATTTTGGAGATCAGACCTCTGTCTGATGTGGAGTTAGTGATGATCTTTGGAACTAGCTCTTGTAGACCAGGCTGGCCTCGAACTCACAGAGATCCACCTGTGCCTCCCAAGTGCTGGGATTAAAGGCCTTGTTTGTATTTTTAAAGATTTTGATCCAAGACTAGAGAGATGACTTTATCAGTCAAGAGCACTTGTTGCTCTTGCAAAGCCCCTGGGTTTGATTCCCAGAACCTACATGGCAGCTCACAGTTGTCTAT